GCTAGATCAACAGAGCACATTTCACAATAGACACCCCAAAGAACAACTCGCCATTCTCAGTCTAAAGTGGATTGGCTACAATTAAATAAGCATCTAGTGTCCAACTTAGACTGACCGTAATGAGCAGGCTAAACCCTGTTTCCACCGTCAGAACTGTTCCTTGTGACTGTATGCTGGGGGATGTCCTGTCTGCTGTGAATATATGTTGCTCTGATTGATTGATAAATAAAATGCTGGTTGGCCAGTAGCCAGGCAGGAAGGATAGTATAGGCAGGACAAGAAGAGAGGAGAATTCTGGGAGGTGGAAGGCTGAGTCAGAGAGAGGCTGCCAGCCCCCACTAGGAGAAGCATGATGTAAGACACCGGTAAGCCACAAACCACGTGCCAAGGTATAGATTTATAGAAATGGGTTAATTTAAGATAGAAGGACAGATAGCAAGCAGCCTGCCATGGCCATTCATTTATAAATAATGTAAGTCTCTGTGTTTGCTTGGGGGACACAAATGAGAGAGATTTGTCCTGACTGTGGGCCAGGGAGGACCAGGAAAACTTCAGCTACAACTGTATCTCCTTGTCATCTGTCCTTGCCAGGGGGAGCCCCCTTTCATCACAGGATAAATGTGCCCAACAGAGTAAAGTCACAAGTCGCAAGTCCTATGATTTGTTGCCAGAGACGAGAGGGAGATTGGATTTGATTTCCATGAAATCAAGACACCTTTACTTGTGAGGCCCTCTCCACACAGAATAGGCTGAATTGGCCTTTGTGGTAAGGGAGGCAGAGTGCCAGCCATGGTAGTCTAACATTATGTACCCTGTGCACATGGCGCTTATTGAAACCACTACACATTTTTATTTTGGGCTGAGTATATGTACAATTCCCTCATTAGACTGAAAGAATGCTGAAGGTGGGAGCAGGTGGACGCTAATGACCAGAAATTAGATGTTTAAAAGCAACCAGGTCTCTCTAAAAACTGACCATTTGTCTGGGTCAATGCGAGTGTGATCTCTATTGTGTAGAGAGAATAAACTAAAAAGCACATGCATAAAATCATTCATTATATAATATTATTAGCATATATACTTGTTTAGAAAATGTGGCAGGGCCAGGTGGTTGTGGCACATGCCTTTAATCCCAGCTCTTGGGAGGCAGAGCCAGGCAGATCTCTGTGAGTTCAAGTCCAGCCTGGTCTCCAGAGCGAGATCCAGGACAGGCACAAAAACTACACAGAGAAACCCATAGAGAAACCCTGTCTTGAGAAAACAAAACCAAAAAACCAAAACAAATAAAACAAACAAACAAACAAAAAACCCAAAACAAAAAAGGAAAACGCAGCAGGTCTAGGGTCATGACTCATCGGGAGAGCTCTTGCCTATCATGCATGAGATCCAGGATTCAATTCCTTTTGTACAAAAACCAAACAAAAGCCACTCTACACAGGCACATGAAAACACAGGGACACATAAAATCATCCGTGTTTAAACAAATCAAAACTGCATTTTTGCCTTCCAAATCCTCTTTTGACTGTCGTTCCTATCACTTACATGTACCTTTGCTAGAACAGGGTCTATAGGACTGATTACTACTTATGATAGTTAGAGATGCAATTGTTCTGGGGTCTAACAGTGTCGGGAGAATCCTGGGTGACCTGGGTCAAAAGGGATTTCTTTATCGTGGAGTTTCTCAGAGTTTTTTTTTTTTTTTTGACTACCCCAATACACTTTGTGATTCATCTATGGATTTATTACACGATATTCCCCAAGAGCCCTCCTTCCATGAAGTGCCCATGGGGCAAGTGGTGTGTGAGAAACCTGATTTGAGAAATGAAATGCTGAATCAGACATAGGTCTGATCTCTAACATAGGTAGGTCCCTTGAAGATCTCTAATTCTGTAAGATTCTATGGAGTGTGGTTCCGAATCCCAGCTGCCTTCAAGAATCACTAAGTAGCTTCAAACATGCCAATGCAGGAGTTCCTGCACTAGCAGCTAAGTCAGGGCCTTGGAGGATGAACTGAAAACATATTACATGTTTCAGAGCTCCACACATCATAGCAGTTACAACTTGTTGCCAGCCTGGGGACTGCTGGCCAATCAATGTGAGCTCTTCTTAAATAATCAGTGCCAATCAGCGTACTCCAAAGACTCTGCCTTCCAATCCTATCAAACCCCGACAGTATTATGATACCTCATTTTCAAATGTATAAAAACAGAGATAGGCCTGATGGTTTATGCCTTTAAACTCATCGTTCTGGACACACATGCAAGCAGATCTCTGTGAGTTCCAGGCCAACCTGGTCTGTAGAACATGTCCCAAGTCATCTAGGGCTTCGTAGTAAGACCAAGTCTTTAACCAGACGTGTGGCACACACCTTTAATCCCAGCACTCAGGAGGCAAGAGCAGGTGGATCTCTGTGCATTTGAGGCCAGCCTGATCAATATAGAGAGTTCTAGGACAGCCATGGCTACATGGAGAGACCTTGTCTCAAAAACAACCAAAACAAAAAAGACCAAAGCAAAACATTTTAACAGGCTTCTGTGGAATTCTACAGATAGTAAATAAGCCCCTGAAAGATATGCAACATCTTCAGCCATCAGGAAAATGAAAAATTTAAAAACCAATACCACTACACACCTACTATGGCTAAGTCAGACCAAAGTCATGTTTATGGGGCCAAAGCTTGCTGTCTTTAAAACAATAAATAAACAGAAATAAGGAATAAAGAAAAAAAAAACAGAGATAATGCTTTATAGACATCTGGGGGCCAAATCTTCAATGGGGGGGGGGAGGTAAGACCAGAAAAGGTGCTAATACAGATAGCTTTATTCAAGTGTCCCTCGTAACACAAGACCAGCCAGAGCAGTGAGGTCCACATCTCAGCATGGCTGAGAGCATATGGGTCCACATCGAGAGGGCTTGCAGAGCTTGGACCACAGGGTCCTATCTGACTGCTGGGCAGTGAGGGAGGTCTCCACAGATGTGCGAAGCCTCTAGACGGTAAACAGCTGCTCGAACACAGAGAACGTTAGCACTGAAGGCCAGGCTTTTGACATAGGAGGTCTCAGCTTGTGGGGAAGAAAGAACCCACCTGGGGACTCCACAGAGAAGGCTCATCTTTGACCCCCATTTCTATAACATTACCTGCTTTGCAGAGTTGTTGAAAGGTTGGCAGGTATACGATGCTATACCTAGACAGAGCAGGAAGTGGTCTAGCCAGAAAAGCCTGCAGGTGGACAGGGGACCTGAGACTAAGGTCATAAGCTGCTTGAGAAAAGTCCTAATCCGACCCTTTCATCACCTTCCAAAGTGCCAACAAGTGTTGACTGGCTGTCCCCTAGGTTCCAACTCCTGGAGTCTCATGTAGCCCTCGGATCATGTGGTGGTCCAAGTCATTTTGCTCTTGAAATGCTGAGCTAGCTCCCCAACCTTCCCTAGTAGGTATGAGTTGGGAGAGACGGGCGGGCGTACGTGAGAAAGAATGGGCATGTGCCCATTCTGATCCACAGCCTCTGGGAAGCAAGAGAGAGCCCATCCTTGTCTAGCTCGTTTGTTCTCTGGGATGCTTTCCTCGTCCACTGCAGCCATGTTGTCTGCACAACACCTACCTCACACTGCTCCAAGCATAAAAGGGACGGTGTATGCAAAATGTTTGCGTCTGTGCTTAACACAAAGTTTACTCTTTCACAAAAATGTTCCTTAGAGGGAATGACTACACCTTGTGGCAGCATTATAAATAAGAGACATACAAGAAATGATTAAACTAGAAAATACCTACTTAGTCACCATGGCAATAATTTTTGCATCCACAGATGCTAAAATTAGAGAGCAAACACATGTTAGACAGGATGCATGTGTAGTCTCCAAGTACCTCCCCACAGGTGCTTATTAATTACAAAGGAAAACAATCATTACGATGGGAGAATTCACCAGATGTCACCTTGGTCCTGCGATCAAAAGCAGCATGTCAGCCACGTGGGCCTCCTACTGCGATGCAGGAAGGAAAGCACAGGCTCACATTTGTAGACTTCTCAACTCAAAGTCATCACCTTGGTGTAACTAGGAGGGAAGCTTTGCAAATCCAAATGGAAGGAGATAGAGTAACTGGCCATGATTCTCCAAAGGTGTCAAGGTCCCGGGACAAAGGAGATGCTGAGGGTTTGTCCCTGGTTGGAGCAACTAGAGAAATCGCACTATCACTGGTAATGTGGGATCCTGGCGTGAATCAAGGGTCCAGAAGGGGGTGCCAGTCCTTCAGTTGGTAAAATTGCAACAAGAGCTCAGATTCTGTATCTCTCAAAGTCATTTTTCTGATTTTGAGGCGGTTATGTAAGATGTTAATTTTTCAAAGACAATGGTGAAGGGCAAGTACAACTTTATACTGTTTCCTCAACTTTTTATAAGCCTGCAAATTTTCAAAACAAAAAGATACAAATAAAAAAAGAATAAAGAAATGATTTCCCTATTCTGGTGCTTAGAGATAACAGGATCAGTATTCAAGGAGAGTTCCCTTCTCCTAGATATTTTGTGATAGAAAAGGTGAGAAGAGATCCAAGATGTACATTTTAATAAGCATGGCCTAGGAGGCTGTGCAATGCACCATCCCGCCCCCAAACTTAGCATGGAGGAATTACGAAAAGAGTCACCAAAACAGACTTAGAGGGAATGAGAGAAGAGGAGGTGATGGGAAGAGATTGGGTGTTCCTGTAAACAGGCTTCGGAAAGTGTCTCTGACGAAGGGGAATGGGTGGGGGGAGAGGCAGCTGTGGGGTGGCATTGTTAGAGACAGCATATGAGAGACATTGAGAGGGCAGAAAGACTAGGAGGTTGATAGATACACGCTGCCTTTGTATACGTGAGTTCTGAGCATCTGCTGGTGAGACCGAAATACAGACTTCTTAATTGTTTTTTGAATTTTTTTCTCTGTGCTGGGACTCCTCAGCAAGAGGCCTCTGTACTGATTACTTGCCTAAGGCAGTGATAAATCAAGGCAATTTGCAGGAGGAAGGGTTTATTTGGACTTAAGGTTCCAGAGAGATACGGCTCCATCACCGTCACAGTGGGGAATTGTGAAGGGCACACACGAAGGCAGGACCAGCTGAGAGCTCACATCTCCAGCCACAAGCAGGAAGCCGAGAGTGAACAGGAATTGATGCATAGCTTATAAAACTGCAACGCTCTCCTCCAGTGACACACTTTATCCCCCAGGCCACATCTCTTAAGCCTCCCCCAAACAGCACCGTCAATGGAGGACTAAGTCTTCAAACACCCGAACCTCTGGAGGACACTTCCATTTCAGCCGTCACAGTCGCTTCAGCTGTGGTACAGTCTAGATACTGGGTTTAGTTTGGAAGACAGACTGAAAAACCATTGATCTGGGAGCCATTTGGCATTATGATGGACAAGTAGCTTAAAAAATAACCAGAGAGGAAAGGGGCCCTGTAAACTCCAACACCTCATGTAGTACTCTATTGTTGAGCAGACATTGAGCTGCAGCATCTGACCCAGGAAGAGGGACTCCATGTTTCTCAAGGGTCATCTTCATCTGAAGTGTTCATATGTTTCTTCCTAATCACTGTCAAGATGGGAAGCCAGAAATGAATCTGAAAAATGGATGAATAGACACTGGAATCACTTCAGATATCTCTGCTAGAAACTTTGAAAAATGTAGAAAATATCTTTCTGGGTCTTTCATTGGCTGTACCTATTTTCTAGCAGTGTGTGTGTGTGTGTGTGTGTGTGTGTGTGTGTGTGTGTGTGTGTGTGTGTGTAGGTGTCTGATAGCAGCCATGCAAGTGATCTCGTGCTTGAGATAAAATTAATTTTTCTCTAGAGACAAGAGATTCCTCCCATCTACCCTTGAGGAACGATCTAGTTTGGCTTTGTTTGTTTGGTTTTGGTTTTGGTCTTCAAGACAGGGTTCCTCTAGGTAGCCTTGGCTGTCCTGGAACTCACTCTGTAGACCAGGCTGGCCTCGAACTCAGAGAATCGCCTGCCTCTGCCTCTTGAGTGCTAGAATTAAAGGCGTGTGCCACAACTGCCTGGCTTAGTTTGGCATTTGTAAAGCAACTTTACTTTGTTGTCCTGATGACCCTGTATGAGAGTTCTTTGAACTCTTCTTTCAACCAGTTGTAGTTTCTTTCTTTTCTCCCACTAATAAATAAGCCAAATAAAATCAGTAATGTGTAGAGGAGGCATACAGATACAGCGATGATAGATAGATAGATAGATAGATAGATAGATAGATAGATAGATAGATGATAGGCAGATAGATGGATAGAGATAGATAGATAGATAGATAGATAGATAGATAGATGATAGATAGATAGATAGATAGATAGATAGATAGATAGATAGATAGATAGATAAAATCAGCAATGTGTAGAGGAGGCATATAGACACAGTGATGATAGATAGATAGATAGATAGATAGATAGATAGATAGAT